CCCCTCAAGCCTAGATCTCAACAAGAAAGTGGTCAAAAGCGTGAAGCAACTTCAAGTGAGATTTCGAAGGGGCGCTAAACATTGCTTCGCTCAAGCATTGGGGAGGCATTGGGGTCCTGGCCGTGTGCCATCATATCTCCTGTGGGCATCAAGTGTCTAAGACCTCACTCTGCATTCAAGGGCATCTCATGTGTTCCGCATGACCACAATGATGGCATTCTCAACAAGTACTCCGTTCTTAGTGACGCCAGCATACTCAGAACGGAGTACTCTCTGCACCACCACATCTTGCTCTTCTGCAAATAAGCTGGTTCTCAATCCAGCACATCCTCACTCACAGGGTCGCCACATTGTCCAGGTCAGAGGTGGAGGGCGTGCCGACCAAACGCTAGGTCGTAAGGTACGCCGATTACGGGATCAGAAGAAGTGCGCAGCATTCTGTGGGTTGACGGTCAGAAAAGAGCTGCTTGGGGGCGATGGACCGGCGTTGGCAGGCGGCGTGCAACCGCTAAAAGGTCAGCAGAAAGGCTGCAGCTCCATCAAACCTGCTAATCAGGTCTTGTGGGGCTTCCGAGCCTGCCACACAAGGATGGTTTGCACAACATGACATAGGGTGCATCAGGGAACGTGGACAGAAGCAGGATGGTTTGCACAACATGACATAGGGTGCATCAGGGAACGTGGACAGAAGCAGTCATGCCGTGCTGTGTGCGTTCTTTGCCCTCCAAACCTTTCAACAAACCTCTCAACAGGGATTGGCATTCTTGCTATTGGAGTTGGAAGGGGGCAAGTAGTTGCAATTTTGATTGTGATTAGAGTGAGTTAGAGTGATTAAGTTCCAGAAAAGACTTGCTCTCACTGGGAGCACAAATACAAATGACGCGCACGTGTCATCGCTGTCCTAACAACCACGTTTACTCAGCTGTTCCTGTTGGAACACTGTCCCCCAGAACTACTTGCACGTCAAGCAAAGCAAGCCGCCGTGTCTGTCAGACAAACATTCAAACATTCAAACATTCACGTGTCAACTAGAGCAAACCGCTGTATCAAACATTCAAACATTCACATTCTTCCCCTTCTATTGATGCTCAGGCAAGAGACATGGCCGCCGACCAGAAACCCAAACCTGCCGCGCCTCTGCATACCCGTCAGCCCCCGCGCGGCGACCTTACACCGCCGTACTTATCATACCAACCGGCGTCGGTGCGGCGATTGGCGGGTTTGCAGGGGATGCTCTCCCAGTGGCCCGCACCGTCTCCTCTGTTGTGGACTGCCTGATCACGCATCCGAATGTAAGCCGCTTTGAGGTTTGTCCCTTGCAGCGCTGAGTAGGAGACAGTACTAGCTTGCCTGGCCCTGTTCTTCCTCCTCTTGCCGTATCGAATACTTAGAAGCTGAGGCTTTCCTTCACCTCTGTGGTGTGCTGGACGAGTGGATCTGTGAATCAAGTAATTATCTCGGAAAATGTCCGAAAATGGGCGTGCAATAGTAGAGAGCGGAAAGTCCTGCAAGGAAACGGCTTCATCAGCTGTCAACCCCAGTCAATATTTGATAACAACCGGTGGCAGTATTAGAGGCGGGTTCTTTTTGGGGATACGGGCTTTGGGAAGCTGGCAATCTGCACACTCGTCCATATGATGCTGGTCTGAAGATGGTGCAATCGATTCGACCCTACCTATCATGGTCGGCTCCAAAATATATTGCAGACGGCGTTAAGACTGCGTTTTCATCCAGTCCGATCTTGTCACCAGTCTCTATAATTCCCAGCCTCCTCTCCCATTCCGAGGTCCCACCCTTCCTGTACCATCTCTTTTTGACCCGTTACTTACGCCTTGACCAGGTTTTAAACGGCGCCATGCTCTACTGGCCCCTTCCGAACACGCTCTACGTCGAGGGCTTTGGTCTCGACGCCTTTGCCCGTGGCGATTGGGCCCTCCGGCCTGTGCACCAGAACCGGATTGGTACGTACACCTCTTCTGAAAGGCTGTGCCTTCCGTTCTCAGCGCTCTGAATGGCTTCCGCATGAGCTGGGATCAGTGAAATGGATCTTACACGTTGCAGCGGGTATCTGCATCCTCTCTACGGACAGATTCTGAACGGATATGATCCCGAGCTTCTGTCGGCTTCAATACAGCAGTCGTTTCTTTCACAACGCCTGTACAACGAAATTGTCACGGTCACTGCATGCTTTCGTGGAGATGCAACTGTTCCAGAACCCAGGTTCCTGAGCATTCCGTTCATCGTCGTCGCCCTCTTCCCAAAACCAAGCACTGTTGGCGTCTGTAGTTAAAATCATGGTAGCATTTTTTGAGAGTGGATCGCCTCATTTGAAGAGCGGGCTGGTGAGGTTTTTGACGGACTCGCGATTCACCCTTATCCCAGCAAACCCTTCAGGAAAATTTTGGGTGGACACAGGCATCAAACCCGAGCGTCGAACTCGTTGCATTTAGGTTGTGAACATCGGCCCAAGCAGTGTTCTTGCCCAGCAAAAGCCTCGGTATTTGCCCTGAACTTTTGCATTTTGAAGTCCGTTTTACAAAGTGGGTAGAACTCCCATTATCGTTGCCTGCATCTCCAGGTATACTCCTGGACTCTGCTATCGAGCCCGACCTTAGTCTCCGTTACATGCAAGTCGCGGACATGGCGCAAGCAACCCTCGGCCTTGACACTGTTCAAGAGTCTAAACTTCCGCTTTCTGGATCCTTAACCTGGGTTACTTTAGTGAACTATTCTGACCGCACTTGCAGGCAATGTACTCGACACTGCAATCGAGCCCGACCTACGTCTCCGTCACATGCAAGTCGCCGACGCGGCGCAAGTGACCCCCGGGCTTGACACTGTTCAAGAATCTAACCCTGCGCTTCCTGAATCCTCAATCTGGGTTACGCTGAAACCCCATTTTTTTGACCAACATTTGCAGGTCTCATACTCGACGTACTTGCTTGCGATCGAGCCTGATCTTCTATTACGGCACAAGCAAGTTGCGGACGCGGCGGACGCAACTGTCGGGGTGTTTTACTTGGTGCTTCCTAAGTTCCCTCTACCTGGGTTACGCTGATTAGCTTCTTAACCCACAATTTCAGGTATCATTCTCGACTCTGCAATCGAGCCCGACCTACGTCTCCGTCACATGCAAGTCGCGGATGCCGCGCAAGCGACTCTCGGGCTCGACATTGGCGGGGTCGCCGTTACGGATTCCCCTCTCGGGGTGGAAAAGTGGATCGATAATGAGACGGGAAAGTCGACCGGGCGGCTTTGGAACCCGGACGGGTTATTGGACGCGGTTAAGTACTTGGTTGACGAGTGTGGGGCGGAGGCAATTGCAGTTGTTGGGCGGTTTCCGGACGATGCGGAAGAGGAGCTTGTGGATTATAGACAGGGGCAGGTGAGGTTAGGGATAACTCAATTGCTAACCGAGGTTCTTTGTGCCCGTGACTTTGGCTGATTTTGGCAGCAACCCTTGCTGTTAATATTTGCTAAGGGTCCCACCTTTGAAGCTCGATAATGTTGAGTTGAAACGGCGCTTTCGAAGGTTCGACGCAATTCAAGACAATGGTTCAGGTTTGAAATGATGCACAAGGTGCAAAGGAAAAATCCACCTTGATCTTTTTATCTCGAATCCCAGGAATTTGGTGAGGTCAACGTTGCAGGATCCTGTTGAGTATTTTACATCTGATTTCTTCTGGAATCGTATGTACTACCATTTAACGAAGTCTGTCGGCTCTCGACTGGTTCGAGAAGTGCTTCCGCTGAATATTTCCGCTGTTCCGAGAAGTGCTTCCGCTGAACACTTTCCGTTGTTTCGTTTCCACAGGGAGTCGACGCGCTCGGCGGCGTACAGGCCGTGATCAGCCACATGGTGTTCGAGCGGTTCGGCATCGCGTATATTTGGAGCGTCTCAACTGTACTATACTACACTCTACTAATCTCGTGACCCTCTTCCGCTTTCGCAGGGCGTAGATGCGTTGGCAGGTGTCGAGGCCGTGATCAGCCACATGGTGGTGGAGCGGTTCGGCATCCCGTGCGCGCACGCGCCCGCGCTCGCGCCGCTTAGCCTGCAAGAGGTCTCGCCGCGGTCGGCCGCAGAGGAGGTGCGGGTTCGGGTTTGATTTTGGGTTTGTGTTTCGTTTAAACCAGGTTTCGAGCCTTTGCACGCTTTAGCGCTCGCGCCGCTCAGCCTCCAGGAGGTGTCGCCGCGGTCGGCCGCGGAGGAGGTGCGAGGTTCAGAGTTTTGGAGGTTTCCGATTTCAGCACTCTGTCTTCTATGGGGGTTTCGCTGCTCAGCCTAGAGGAGGTCTCGCCGCGGTCGGCCGTGGAAGAGGTGCGGGGTTTGGATCTGGTTCTGACTTTGGTTCAGCCCACGGTTCTGAGCCTTTGCTGTCTGAGTTTGTGTCGGTAGAGTTGCTGGCAAACCTCACGAGGAGCCGCGGTCGGCCGCAGAAGAGAGGCGGGTTTGGGGTTCTGAAAGGTTCAAAGTTGCATGAGCACTTCTGAGCGTTTCCTTCATCACGGTTCTACTTTTTAAAACGCCCTTGCACGTCTCGCCACAAGCGAGGATGAGCAGTATCCTTTGGAGCGCAACCCGGCTTTGCTTGTTGAAACACCGTTCGCTAAAGCTTACCAGTCTAGCCTAAGAACTACTCTGAAGCAACCCTCCTTCGTCTAATCTATTGGTTTGCGGTTTTCCTGAATCCCCAAATTGCGTAGCTTTTCCTTTCCAACTTGACCTTTTCATATTCTTTTCCCTTTCGAACAGCTGTCATTTTCTCATAGGGGCTTGATCGTTTGCCCCCAGACTTTGGGCTTCCTTTGACCTTGTTTCCTTCCTAACTTCAAATACCCACTAAGCCAATCCCAACACCTCTTTGCAGATTGGTTACACTTTCTTCCCATGTGTGCTCGCCGGCCTCTCTCGTGCGCCCCAATTTGTTCCCCGGGGCAGCCCAGTTAGTGTCCAAAACGGCCCGGTTAACCACCAAAACGGCCCCGTTCGCCAAGACGACGGCCGGGGAGTGGCCGGGGCAGTGCTCGGGGAAGACGTGGACGCTGTGATTGTGCCTGCGGACGCCTGTGGAGGGGTCGGGACACTAGCATTTTCGAGGGGGGTGTTAGGAAAGAAGCCGCCGCTGATCATAGCGGTGGGCGAAAACGAGACGGTGCTGGAAGACACCCCGGGGCGAGTGGGACTTAACGCGGTAAGCATAAGAACTCTACTCAAGGGGAAATTCTTAGGCGCCGATTCTTGCAAAGTCCGTACTCCTTCAAAGCGGTTAAGATCCTCGCCAGACCCATGCGTATCGAGACACCGTTTGACTTTTGAGGGCCATGCAGGGCTTCATCGAGCTCTCACCCGTCAAATCTCGCTTTTGAAGCACACCTATAATGTTCTGCGTCAGGCTTCGTGCGTTTCTTTTGGCACCACCCTTTCGATCGGGCGTACTCTGTGGTCAGCCTGCGTCACCTCAGTAATCGAGCTCCCGCAAAGTTTAATAAATTACTGATTGGAACTCTGTTCAAAGGATCTCCGTTGTGGTTCCTCCCTATATCAAAATCGAAGTTCTTGACACCGCCCGCAGCGATGGAGTTCATCCCATCGAAAAGATTATTGAGACACACAGCAACTGCTCTACGCCTTTGAGACACTGTGTCCACCTTCCTTGCGTGCCTGTTCCCTTTTCACAACTTCAGCTTCGTGCTTAAACGTGCCCTTTCCTTCCTCAGGTCGTTACCGTCTTCCTTGTGTATTTCTCTCTCCTTGAGGATACTCTGTCTTTTCACGTGCCCTTTCCTTCTCTAAATGTCGCCGTCGTGCTTACCTGTCTCCTTCCTTCTGCAGATCCACGTGGCCAACTATTGGGAGGCCGTGGGTGTGCTGGCCGCACACAAAGCTGGTGTGCGGCCCGACGCACTTCGAAAAGACGGTACTCTGACCCTGTCTGCTGTTGAGCTAAAACCGAAAGATTTAGAAACGAAGCGGCGGCTAAAAGGAGCCGAGGGAGCCAGACAAGCACAGAATGAGCCGCCACTTGGAAACGATTTGATGCATTCCGTGTTGAACCGGCTGCTTGAAAAGGAAGCCCCAACAAGTACACCGGGTTCGTGGAAATTAACCGGGGACTGAGGATACGCGTCTAGTATAGGTGTTGATATTCACCATTCATGCACTGCTTAAGCACGCCATTCATTGCCGCGGGCTTCTCGTGCCCGACCCCCACGTTCACATTATAAGACACTTGGTGGGGCTGACGCCCTCAAACACTCGCCTCTTCTTCGATCAAACGCTTCTTCTCAGAATGATATCACAATGTTCATGTTCGTTCCGATCAAGCAAGGCAGCCTGTTAGAAGTCACGTCACGAGTCATTGTTCGGAGTTCACACTAGTTTGAGTCACTGAGTCACAAGGCTAGGCTCTAAACTGCTCTCTACCGTCCAAGGACCGATTTGACGAGCTCCCCGGATAGCCTATGCAAAATCAAGGTTTTTACTTTGAGTCCGCCAGGGACATTCCGTTGGACATTGTGGAAGGAAAACATGGATTCCACTTCATTTATCTAACACCCATGTGCGCGAGCAGCTGGAGACTATGGCTGAGATGTGACCGGGTAAGCCCGTGTGGTAACTTACGTGGCCTCTAGCTGCCTCCGTTCGACTCACAGATTGGCCCTTACAGATCGAGGGCCCTCGAATAACTGGCATGTTGACGTGGTTGCGGCCCCGGATACGGAGACAAGTGACAAGTGACCACTGATGTGATTCACGAGATGTATTCCGACATTCCAGACTTATCAGCCGCGCACGCGCACAGTAGGGTATCAACCACTGTGGGGTTCCAGAATGCACACTGACTAGAATGGAAATTGGAAGGTCCTGGTGAGTCCACGATCTCCGGCCTTCCACGGGTGTTGGCACATGCATCTAATCCACAACATAATGCCGAGACTTATGCCGATCCTGGCCCCGACGGTTCGTCGGCTGTCCTCGGCCCTGGGGCTCGATTTGACCGGCCGGTCGGCGTTGTCGCTTTGGAGTCTAGAGTCTAGAGTCTGCATGGACCGTTCAGATTTGCAGGCCGATGATCCGACGGCGATGGCTTTCCGGTCGTCGACTCGTCGCCCCTCCGCCACTCGGTAGGATAGTCCCCTAATCAATGATGGAGCCGGCCGGCAGCTAGAGTAAAATGCGGCCGGCCGCCGAGCCGGTGACGACTCAATTAAGTCACTTTCCATGCACGGAGTTTCCGACGGCCCCGCAGCTGCATGCTCCCCCTCGGTTCTGTCGGCTCAGTAGTCGGATATGGCTTCACCGGCCGGCTTTTAGAGAAGTGTCCATCACCGGCCGGCTCAGGGCCCATCAGTTGCCTTCAGCTAGGTGCCTCCAGCACCGGCCGGGTCCCTTCTCGACCGGCCAAGTCCAGGTTCTCTTGCCGGAAACCCCACCGGAGGCTCCAGTCCACCTTGTTAAAGTCGTAAGCTGGGCCTAGCTGTAGGATGCACAGCTGTGAATCTGATGGCAGCGCAAATGGATACAGAATATCGTATGCTTTTTCTGATGTTGGTGCGCCAGCTGCATCCTTCGATAATCAAGTCAGAATTCAGGTGCACTGCAGGGCTTGTATGCTGATAACTTCTACCAGAAGGCTGCTATCGAGACATTTTTCAAGATATTCCAAGCTTGCTGCCAAAACGTAGTAGGTATGGCGCCCCTCCCTCAAACGGTGGCACTGGTTACTGGGGGCTCTGGCATTGTTGGAGCGGGAGTGATATACGCATTTCTGAAAGCAGGTGCTCAAGTGATTGCCCCTGTTCGGTGAGTTTTGCTTCCCACCTCAGGTCCAACATTGCTCGACAAGCAAATTCCGGAATGATGTATTTATTTGAGTCCTGCTTTCATTCGATTACTTACTGCTTCCACATATAAGTGCAAAAGTGCCCTTTGCTCATCATTTCAGCTTGAGAGAGTGGGGCTTCGGAAATGAAGCTTTCTGCAATATGCAATAGTAATCACTTGAATTGCATAATTCAGCTTGCAGCATCCTTCCTTTGTAAGAATTGAATTGACTCCCCTGGCAAGTCTCCCCAATTTTCTGCCTGAGAACGGAAATCCTGCCAAAGACTATTGCAGTGTCTCTATGAAATGACAAACTTGAATGACAAGGCAATGTGGTCGCGAACCCGAGACTGATGTGGGAAGACCTCCCCAAACACTTTGCATCAGGCCACCTTCTGCCAACTCATAAGACTGAAGGCCTATCGCACTCTTCCGATGATAGCAACTCGAGCACCAAGCTTTTTTGCTAGAGGAGATCTTTTTCTAAGAATGTATTGCGCATCTGTCCTAGCTATAATTTTTCCTTAACTTCCTCTAAGGTTTTGATTTACAGGAATGAGAAAGGCAAGGGCAGCCTGCTAGGTGATCTGCGCGACCTGGACAAGCCAACGTTGGCCCACTTGGAGATTCCAACTGCCGATCTTTCGGACCCCAAGAGCGTAGCGGAGCTGGGGGAAATGGTGAAGGCCAAGCACGGCAGCCTTGACCATGTGGTGACATCAGTAGGCGGCTGGTGGCAGAAAGTGAGTGTCAAAGGCTGCAGGACTCTCATCGTCTTGTTGTCTCTGACATGTCGAGACATAGTGTCAAAGATGAGTAAGATAGTGAGAATTGTTGTCTCTTTTAAGTGTTCTGAGACTATGCTTTGGATTCAAAGAGGCAGCGACAGGGGAAGCACAAGCAAGTTCAACAGCAGATGTGAAAAAGGGCGGAAGATATATCTTGGACTGAGCCCTCCACTGTGTCCACACACAACCCATGTCCACTTCCTACTGCCAAGCAACACAATGAATTCCCTGCTTTCTTGTCGTTGCAGGGCCCCATCCTGCAGTTTGCCAACCTTGAGACCAGTTACGACGAGATGCTGACCGAATACAAAGCCCGCGTGCTGTCGCATTACATGCTGGCCAAGGTCTTTGTGCCCTTTCTCAAAGTCGACGCGGCCAGCTCGTTTACCTTCATCACTGGCTCATTAGGCGAGGCTCCTGGAATCTCATAAACTTTGTTTCCAAGGTTTTTTGACATCTGTGGTCATGGGCTCTGGGTTTCGTTTGGGGGATTCCGAGTACGGAAAGCGCAGCTTTATGAGCTGAGTTAATTCAAGACAACGTCTGCTAGATCTTCGTTTCATTCCTTGAGCACGCAGGGCGCGTTTGTTACTTCTTCAACCCAGGCACTGCCTCTGGAAGGTTGAATCCCCTTTGCTTTGAGGTCCAGATTGATTCTGCACCAGGCCTGTGTGCTGTCCTCCAAGTGGTTCAGTACAAGAATGACTTTGTGAATTGGGGATATTGAATCCTGACTCGAACCGCAACGTTCTTTGCTGTTTTCTAGAGGAGGTTATGCGTAAAACGTCCGTTTTCTCTTTATGGGCTAACATGGCACTGATAGGCTTGGGCGCTTTTGCATCCACTTTCTTCTCGGAACATTTCGGTGTCGGGGCAAAGAAAGCTGTTCAGAGACTTGCATTCATTTGGATGCGAAACAAAAGCGAGCTTAAGTCCTGTCAGACTGAGCTTTCTGCCCCATCCTCGTTGCGTTGCAATATGATACCCCTTCCAGCCTGCAGAACCCTCGCCTCAAGTTGGCCCATTGCCCTCTTAGCGCGTTAGTTATGATCATTTTTCGCTCCTCGCTCTGGATACCTAGAGTCTATACGATTGTGTCGGCTTCCAGGTCTGGGTGCCGTGTGAGTCGCCAGTAGATGATCTCGAGGACTGCCCAGCTCTTGCTTTCCACATCTCGTTGTTTATGCAAGTAGTCGAGCCTCTATGTGAGTGCATGCCAAGAGCAAGCTGCCTGAAAGACTGCAAGGGCCAGGACTTGAAGATTCTCTCCAAGTCGTCAATTCCCTCTGGTCTTATCTTCACCCCGCAAATGACCAGATCCGCCCGATCATCCGACTGTGTGTCAGGAGCGAGCCGCCCGGCCACGAGGTCATAAGGACCTGGAAGGAAAGCTGATCGTATTCGAACGTTGCATTTGCCTTGTTCGACCCTTTTCTGTTTTCTCCATTAAACCTTGGCCATGCATCGACTCTTCGACTGAAGAGCTTTGCAGGCACTGCTTGATGTCGGAGATTGTGGCAATGCGCCCGACCTGTCAGGCTGTCTGGTGAACCCTTCCGGCTTTCATCATCCCAAGCCAGGAACTCCCGCTGGTACCGATGACGTCCCGTTCGACCGGGAGAAGCTTTCTTTGCCACTCTAGCATGCTTTCAGCTTTGACGATTCCACGACTGCTTCGAGTGACGGAGGGTTTCAAGATATTCCATTTGTTATTGTTGCGTAAATATGAGATATGAATATGTTCGACCAGTCTCTATTAATGGTTTGAGAGATGTCATTTGACTGTTCGACCAGTCTCTATTGACGTTTTCGATCAAATATGCAAATCAACTGTTTGACCAGTCTCGCAAAACCGTCCATCCTGCAGGCGAGGCTCCCGTCTTTCCGGACGCGAGCATGATCACCGCGCAAGTTGGCGCGCTCATGATCCTGATCCGCACGATCCAGGCGGAGCTCGCGGAACAGCCGTATCGCGTAAACGAATTTTGCATTGGGACGCTCGTGAAACGGCACGGTGAGGCGGACAACAACCAGAGCGGTTCAGCGACGAACCGCCAGATCGGGCTCAAGGTGCTGGAGACCATCGAGAGCACGGGAGAGAGCGGGAAGATCAAAGTCGGGGCTGATGATCTGCCCAACGTGGAGTAAAGGGGGGGGGTCATTTGTTGAGGTGGACGACGAAGCCCTCACACCCTTTCGAGTGCTCAATGATACTTGTCTGTTGTGGCGTGCAAGGACGTGTTGCATGCGCGTGCGGGTTTGGAGCTCAACCCTATCGAGATAGTTGCATGAATTGCGTAATTATAGAGATACTAGGCGGCTGTAACCCTGCCCGACCCGCCAAAGACACCCAAGACGCCTGTAATTCCCTTGGTGAACCTCCAAGATACTCAGGTGCTCCACATGTGAAACAAAGAGGCGTTTGGAACATCCAACTTGACTAGTTTACCCACGGTTGTACAGCTGGACACGGCGACTTTGAACTGCTGATTCCCAGTCTCGTCATAAGCAGCCTCACTTTCGGGGTATTCCAATAGACAGATGGAAGTTGGACGTACATATTGTTGGACGTACAATGTTAGTGACTCATTGTAGGCGGATGGAAGTTGGTCCGCAGGCCGAGAGGGCCTGCCGTGCAATTGCTCAATGTACGGTATTCGGCCTTGGACAGAATGAACGAGACAGTTTGGCTGAATACAGAGTCCGTATTTTAACGGGCAAGTTACAGAAACAGATACTAGATGTGAGCTGCGGATGAGTCATGCAAGGCTAAGGCGCGGTTCCAGGCATCACAGTCACTGTTGCCGGAGTAACTATTCTTTTTGACACCACAACCGCATGCAGATATAGACAGGGAGACTTTGCACGCCCGGCCGCAACAATGATGTAACCCGGCAGATTGCTTCCATCGAATCTGCCGGTAGGTCACGTATTCAATTAACAAACCGTCGAGTGATGACGTCTTGCCAGTGCATTCCAATATGATCGGATGCAGTTGTAGTATATATTACGTACGGGTCCTCATCCTCCACGGCCGTCCGATCGCCGCGGCGGCGGCATGCATCATTGGGCGTGACGCCAAAAGCGCCGCGCCGTGGCAGAGCAAAGAGTTTACGTACTGGATGGAACAATAACATATACCATGGAAGTATACGGGCAGCGTGTGGTGCTCATCATCACTATTGAATAGCCATGCAGGGCCCACGCAGTTGCGCGGCCCGGCCGCTCCTAGAGGTTTCGATTACCGCGAGTCGTAGGCTGCCAGGGCGGCCCGGCCTCGAGTGACCGCACTAATACTCTGCACATGCCAATTGGTCATCTTGCCGCATGCATGGATCGCGAAACCTGATCTGCGATCAACGGTACAACGTACCGTTAGTATACCTCATGATAGCAATGCGCCGGGCCGCGTTTCGGATCAACGATACCTATAGCCGCCTAAGCGCACGCAATTGCTCTCACTGGCATGCAATGAATGAATGACGGGATTTATGCAATTGCGAATGTACAGGCGGCCGCCTGCCTAAGCTCACCAGGTAGAATTGAACAGGCCGCCGGGCGGCTCCGATTGAGAGAGATGATACGCTTCAGCTCATGGTCTCAGGCGCGCACGTGGGCCAGGTGCCAGCAACAGTGCGACAACTGGGTACCGTACGGTGCGCATCGCAGAAGACCGTAACTTGCCACTATGTGGATCGAATAAGTGAGTAAATCGCAGGCGGCCATGATGCATTCAATAATAGGCTCCCATTTGTATCGCGCAGGTACAAAACCTCGATCATATACGAAGTGACTCATTTTGTCCGCCCTTTTTTCCGTGCCAAGTACCTCGCTTTCGCGTCCTCGATGCTTTTGTCTTCTAAAGGAGGCCGTTTCTGACTTCCTGAGCCGCTGACCGACCTGTCTACTTTCGCCCCTTTCGCCGACTCACCCGGACCTGCTTCCTCGCCGAGCGTCGCAGGTTGCCCACTGCAAATAGTCGCATCAACGGACACATGTCAGCCGATCCCTCCGATATTCTGCCAAGATCCCACGACTGTGGTAAGACATTTGATGGCCCGGGTCACACCTGAACAGAAAATTCTGAGAACGTCAGCTGACGTCATGTTCCGACTAAGTGATCTACCCGGAGCCTCACCGGGATGGTCAAGCCACAGTTTGCTAACCAGATGCGCGGCACTTTTGGTGAGCAAACCTCAACCGAATTTTACTGATTGAAGCGGCGCTGAACTGGGCACGGCACGTCTGACAAGACACGTCTCGTGTTTTCTGCCCACTGCTCTGCATAATATTGAGGACGTACATAGATGCATTTGAAAAGGCGTCAGAAAGCGACTGACACGACCAGGGTCTGCATACCGGTGACCGACGCTGACTCTGTAACATCTCTGTGGAGGCCCCATTGAACCCCGGCCTTGGAAGCAATCGTTGATTCGCCAAGTGCTGACTCACCTGACACGCCTTCTTTCACCAAGGACAAACCCCTCGAGACTATAACCCTGACTTCCTTTGTCAGCGGTTACCGATACAGACCGTTTCGCAATGCCCTCGTTGCTTTTGTTCAACTTCTGACCACCGTTCTCCTTCATCCGACCGGAAATGCAGCTCGAACACCAATTTTAACGGCGAAATATGCAACAGCCGTTAGAGGCGCTGCATGTCCAGCCCTCTTCCCCGAACGATCCAAGAAGTCGAGGCCCCCCAACTTCATGTAACGAGCAAAACATCTCAGTTTACCGCCAAAAAACGTCGCAAGCACCCTACGAGACACAAACTCGAGCCAGAAGTGCCCACCAGAGCCGCTGCAGGTCCAGTCCCTTAGTTCGCCCTCACCAGGGTCTCCTCCAAAGAATCAAAAGAGCACCCGACTCAACAACCAAACTTCGCAACCGCTTTCCCGATCCAAAAGCACTAATAATCACGGCTTCGAGACAGCTCACCTGAGGCGCTGCAGGTGTAGTCCCCTGGTTCGTCTCACCAGGGGCTCCTCCAAAGGGTGAAAGAGCATCCGACTCAACAACCAAAATTTCGCAATCCAGAAACACCAATTAAGCACGGCTCCGAGACAGCTCACCTGAGGCGCTGCAGGTCTAGTCCCTCGGTTCGCCTCACCAGGGGGTCCACCCAGGCGCCCTCGACCTTGCAGCAGTGCCGGATGAACGGCCGGGAGGTCGCCACCAGCTCGTGATACAGCACCCACTCGGGAAGCAGGCCGTCGTCGTCCACTTGGAGGCGCGCATTCGACGGATGCACCTGATGATTGACAGAGTAATCAAAAGGTTGCTTGGATCTGTTTCCTGATTCTCAAAGCTCTGGAATAGCGCAGAAAGCCGTTGTTTCGTGAGGTCGCGGTACAGCACCCACGCAGGCAGCAGGCCGTCGTCGTCCACTTGCAAGCGGGCGTTCGACGGTGCACCTGAAGAAAGTAAAGAAAAATGTTTGTGAAATATGATCAAATATCTACCTCCAATGTACTAAAATGAGTCAACATTTGGTGTTGTATCAATTCGTGGTACAGCACCCACTCCGGCAGAAGGCCGTCTTCGTCCACTTGCAGCCGCCGATTCGACGGCTGCACCTGAAGGTTTCAACCAAACCGTGAAAAGGTTGCCAATGATGCACTAGAACCGCCTACTTTTATCTCTGGGGCGACGAGAAAATACAAATGTTAGAAACAGCCCGCAATCCAGCACCCACTCCGACAGAAGGCCGTCGTCATCCACTTGCAGCCGCGCATTCGACGGATGCACCTGAAGAAAGTAAAGAGAGATGTTTGTTTAAATTGATGAAATGTCTTGTTGCCAATAACTAGAAAACATCCCAAATTCGGTCGAAATGTTGGTATATCAATTGGTGCAACAGCACCCACTTCGGCAGCAGCCCGTCGTTGTCTACTGCATTGGACGGATGCACCTAAAGCTGACAGTCGGTCCACGATTGATTTGCGATCTGTCAACAACAGGCAGATTCAAAAAATAAGGAGCCGAAATCACACAAATCACGTCCTCCAAACCTTGGGATTCGCAAAATCCTGCTTTTCGAGGAATCTAAGTTTGTGGGTTCATGGAGACCCGGGCATTCGACGCCGGAGTGCCCCGTTGAGCGTCGTCTGTCCTTGCTTCGGGACATTGGGGTGACGTTATGAGAGGGTAAGTTCCTAAAAATGGCCCTTCGCTCTGTGCAAAACCCATAATCTAACACCAACGCCTCTCTGTGAGCTTTGTGTCCCATAGTCAAAACCTGTCGCGCTTTTTGGGTTGTACGGTGCCTACGGAAACCGTTGCAAACGTACTGATGCAGAACTCAAACCGGTCGAATTCAAACTATTATCACTGACGCTCTACAATCAGAAACCGGGAGAATCGGAGATCGTCAACAACGTCCTTACCTGCACCAGTTGCGACTTTTCGCCCATCGTCCGATAGCCGTTATGCTTCGTCATCCTACGCGCCAGCTTATTTGCAAACCCGATACACAGTGCCTTCCGGAGCGGAACCGTCCGCTCCTCCGTGCTCCCGTCCCTCCGCTTCTCGGACTTTTGGTTCCGGTCAGGTTCCCTTCCGCTTCCGTTCCGAACATCCGCTTCCTTGGACACCGCCGCTGCCAGTTGGCGCCGGACGTCTGCGGCGAATTTTAGGGACCGTGCTTGGAGCCCCTTTTGGCGGCACCAGTCGGGGTCCCGCCCGGCCTTTTCCCACCGCCGATAGAGCTGCAAGTAGTAGATTTGCAATCTCTGAGACTGGTCCAAGTTTGTTTTACGTCTGGCGTCTAGCCTAGGCAGTGACCGTGGGACGTAGCTCAGTTGAAGCAGTCTTTCTGATGGTTTCAATAGGGGTTCCGCCCAAAATTTCTCTACCACCCGGTGAACCTGCACATTCCGTGACTGTCGATTCTGTCTTGATTGAGAGCAATGAGCAATTCACTCAATCATTTGAAGAGCGCTCGAAGTCAGGCTAAGCTAGGCCAGCTTGAATAGTGAACAGTCTCACGCCGACGACCACCCACTGAAAGGAGATTAGGAGAACAATTCAGGAGTTGCTTTTCTAGACACCGGTGATTAGTAGGCACGGGCTCACCTGTAGCAGCATGACGTGATCCCCGAGCCCGTCCCCATCGGGCAGCGACCCCCCCCGGTCGCCATCGGACCGCTGTGTGAATACGCCCTCGCAGGAGAGCATGGCGGTGACGGTAAGCGCCTCGTCGAGGGAGCCCAGGTCGGCGGCCGCGAGCAGCACGCGCGCCAGGTGGGGCTCCAGCGGCAGATCTGGCAGGAGTAAAGGGGTCTGGGGTTTGAGGATTTGCGAATGATCGATTGTAAGTCACAAAGTGATCTACTGGATTCACGAAGAAGGGAGGTAAGGAGTGGACGGTTCGACAGTCTCATGGTTTGGGATTATTTTAAAACCTTTGGTCGCGAGCAGGACGCGCGCCAGATGCGGCTCCGGTGTGATGTCTGGCCAGAATCAATGTTTTGGTTGAAACGGTGACTCGTCCGATTCGTTTTGGTATTGACGCTTTGAGCGGGGCTGGAATAACCAGCCAGATCGTTACATGGTTGCGCGCAGGAGCAGTATCGTAAGCTGTGGTCACCGGCCAATACTTACGTCGGTCAGCCGCCCTGTTGCAAAACCCGGCGTGCTTGAGTCGTGAATAGCCGGCACAAACCACCCCGTGTACATGACCCATGGCCCTTCCAGATGTCCAAGTCAAACATGGAACCTAAACATGTACAAATGAACAATGTAACAAAGCCAACAGTAAAAGAAGAACATTGCAAAAAAGACGAGAACAGAATATTTAGAACCAAGGGAAAAGAACGCACTCCTCACCCGCCATCTTCCGTCCGAGCGGCGTCACATCCCCGTCCGCGTCGATCGCGTCCAAAAGGTACAGCTGACGCAGCGCATCCCCGAGCGCTTCCCGCGGGGGCGGGTCCAGAAACTCAAAGTGTAGCACGTCTAGCCCCGGTAGGCTGAGGCTCTTGAGGTGTAAAACGGCGCCTGTCAGCGAGGAGCGCTGAATCTCGGGGAGGGTCACTGGGGGCAGCTCGTGGTCGAAGACAGACTGGGGGTAGAGCCGGTAGCACTGCCCGGGGCGGGTGCGGCCGGCGCGCCCCGCACGCTGGACGGCTTGCACTCTGGAAGGACATGGAGTTCACTATTTTGATTCATCATTTTTAGATTTTATTTTTAGATTAATCAATCTTTTTGTTGAATCTTTTTTATAAATAGAATGGATTATTATCCGAATCTAAAAATCTAGGTTCTTTCTCTACATGATTTTTGAGAAAGCGCTTTTTGCTGCCTCATCTCATCTGTAGCCAAGCTGTCAGGACGTGCTACGGTCGCGGGATTTGGTGAGCTTGCCGCTCTTTCAGGCTTGGATCGGATGCGTTCAACATGGCTGGCGCCGAACAGGCCGCTTTCAACGAGCAGATTGGCGGACATAGAATCCTCCGGGAACGGATCAGAACCGACGTAAGTACGCCGAAACAAGTTGCAGAAGCCAGACCCAAAGCACTTCGAAGCACTCATTCGGGCGAGCATCTTCCGCGTTGCCCAGACAGTTTGTTAGACCTGAGGATTAGCAGAATTGCTTGCACAGTAGAGGAGCTCAGACGACAAAAAGACATCGTCACCGCTTGAAATAGTCGATGCCCATTGGTTCTGCAAGCGCCAAATAAAGGCAAGAGAGAGCTTACCTGCTGATTGGCACCACGCCTAGCGAGTCCATCCCCGTCTGCGGGTTGTACTGTTGCAAAAGCTTTCATTGTTTGCACAAGTGGAAGCAGAATCCAAGAGGAAGCAAAAGGAAAAGGAGGCCCTGACCTGCTAATTGGCACCACGCCCAGCGAGTCCATTCCTGTCTGCGGGTTGTACTGCCGCTGCTTGACAAACCCGGGGTCGACCACGTATACGATTCCGTCCACGGTTACGGACGTTTCAGCGACGTTGGTGGCGACGACCACTTTCCGGCAGCCGGGCGGCGCCGGACGGAAAATGCGAACCTACGTTGAAAAGGTAAAGATTGCAGAAAACATGCCGGTGATTGTAAAGACAGCAAAGAAGAGGAAGTTACTGAGCGAGTGGATGGATAAGTTGGACTCTCAATGCATGTAAGCAACGAATGAGCGAGTTGCGTCGTTTGCTTGTGTATCGCTCAATGGGTATTCAGGGTCTTCGCAGCCCATTTTACCCCCTACACTAATGACGCAGAAAAAGGCAACCTTGTCTACAGCAGAAAGGCTACAGCCCCAATCTCCGGCCAATTCGTTTCGTTTCAGTTCACCATGTTGCAAGCGATTGCAAGCGTCCCTCCCGTAAAGGAACCATGGTTCTGAAACGAAGACTTCAAAAAGCGTTCTGATTTCATATGCGCAGTCACAAAAGAAAGCAGATGCGGACGGCGGTTATTCACACCTGGGCTTCTGGAGGCAGGCTGCCGTACAGTGGAAGGATCAGCATGTCCTGGCAAGTGCCCTGCTCCAGGGTCATAACCCGGTCGGTTAGCTTCTTAACCGCCTTCTCAATCTCTTCTTGGCCCGTGAGGAACACCAGAATGTCGCCGGGGCCCTCGTTTGCGTGAATGTCTGCAAAAGGGAAGATTAGTTTGTTTGTTGCCTGTCTTCTTCGACTCCTCTTCTGTGGTCTTGCTTCCAGGATGTCCGTCGAGACACTTGGGCGAGGACAACCGGCGGAGCTTTGTGGTCAGCAAAGCACAATCTCCGATCTTTGATCATTGGTGTGTAGAATCTACGGTATGATTGTGGGAAACGACTTCCACCGGGGTAGAGTAGTCTGATCCGTCGCTTCCCTTCTACAGTGTCTCGGTTGAGGTATGGACCAGATCAGCAACCGCATAAACAAAGCGCCGGTACAAGACTACAAGCTGCGTTTTTCCAAATCAAGCGAGATGGGAAAGTCTTCAGGAGGATGAGGTTTTGCGACTTAACTTCCCACCGGACGTTGCGTTTCGACGCCGCTTTGGTCGAGGCGGAAATGGTCGAAGGATCTGATTCAGGATCTGAAGACCTGGGCCAACAACGCCACAACTGGAAAGTCATGTTTGGAATCTCCTGAGATTTGTCAAAAAGCAGAGAAGAAATGAGAGAGGCTCACCCATGACCGTCTCAACGGCCGACTCGAGGTATGAAATGGGTCGCTCCAGCGCGTGCATGATCTGCGCAAGTAAGAAACTTTGGTCACCCCAAAAAAACTGGTAAGGCTTTCGATATTCTCATCTCGATGACCGCCGTCATCTGCAGAAGAGCGACAATCTACAATTCTTGTTACAATGTGCTCCCGATACACGCATCTGAAACAGGTGATCACAGCTGCTCGCAAAAGAATCGATCGAAGCAGATCCAGTGGAACCAGAATACTAAGTTTAAAGAATTATATTCCGGAGTATCCCAAGCGGCCTGTTCCAGATCCCAAACCGTCAGCAAAAGGGTAGCAGTCCGACCGATCAGCGCCGCCGTGGACGCAGCGGAGCTCTTCCAACAAAGCGCTTCGAATGTCGGATGAGCCTACCTTCCACTCCCAAAACATCCAGAGATAGAAGTGAACAAGAGAAAGTTCAGAAGAATCGAAGCTGGTAACCTTGACGGGATGCAGTCGTCCCGGGACCTTGAGGACCGGGCAGCCTCCGAAGAAGTCCGCGAACTTGTGCTCCTCAAGTGTGGCTGAAGTTACGACCAGCTTCAGCTTAGACGTGGGTGACAGCATCAGCCGTTTCAGGACGCCGAAAAGGATGTCCCTGGATGCGAGCACGTGGCAGCTTTAGCCACGTGTGTGGTTATTAAAACCGCACGCGCCCGGGTGCAGGCAGCTTGAAACTGGTGATCCAACATGTATAAAGGGCCATACCGCGCTCATACGACAGCCCAGTGGCTTCTCTTGTGGTTCAGGCATGGCGGAAGATATTGCAAAATGGAGTGGCGCAGTTGCAAGCAATTTGACAAGGTCTGAACGTGCTCAGATTCGCTGTGTCCGTCGTTAGAAGTCCTCTTCCTGCACAGGGCCCCATTTCGGAGGTCTTGAGTGCGAGTAGCTCGATAGAGATACTGACTTGCCAAGAAACAAGCAGAAGAGCGCTGAAGCGGAATGTTGGGCTAGCTTATAGACACCCCAGCTCGAAGGAACAGGTCCGATTGGAGGCTCACGTGTTGAGGCTTCGTTCGTGTGCTTCATCGAGGATGATTACCGAGTACTGGGAAAGGGAGGGGTCGGCGAGACACTCCCGCAGGAGAATGCCATCCGTAAGGTATCTGTGAAAAGGACCAAGACCTATTTAGAGGATACTTTCGAAAGCAAAGGCTTTGGGTCCTGTTCTTCGTATGCAGGGCACACTGATACTTATCCTAAGGCTCTGAGACAATTCACTCAAGATCTCGGAAATACGACTCTGAAATAAGCCTCTTTGGGTTGACTGACCCGTTTCGCTTTGGGTGAGTCTAAAAAGCTTGGGACCGTGACTATGGCAACGCGAAGTAGAAGCGACCATCATCTCCCAATAAGGATACAGATAGGCTGCATATTGCATCAGTTTTGCACAAGTTGGAAAGGAAGTTCCAGCACGGACTGTTGCCAACAGAGTAATTTGGAATTGACCATGAAAGCCTACTTTGAAGACGTACTTTATTCGGGTTTGCCTTGAAGTACGGTCTTCAAAGCGCACAGAGTAACCAACTTCTGCTCCCACTTGGACCCCCATCTCGCTGGCCACCCGCCTGCACGATAGGGGCAATCAGAATTATCAACGTACTTTCCATGCTGATGACGGCATCCATGCTGACAGGGCAATCTTGAAGAATCGGACCTCACTTCTAACTTTCTGGCACCTTCGGTGACAGCCCAGGCAGAAAGATACGATCTCTGTATGATAACTCATCACATGTCTTTGATTCTGTCTCCAACCTCGTCGCATTGGCTAGGAGGCACCAAACTGTGGCTTGTCTCCTTTTGAAGCACAGCCGTATGGCTGACCTGGCCACTGAGACTGCTGCCACGCGCCTTGGCTGGGTGACGCCAATCATCCCATCCTTTGTGAAACCTGCCTTGTGCAGGAATTGAGAGACCTGTAGCAAGATATAGACATCAGAATGGTTTGAAGAGTGCAATCAAGGTGCAAACACAATTGCTGCAAATTATCCAGACTGCGATGAGTAAGTGGAGTAAAAGAATAAGTGGATGCTGCACCAATTGGAACCAGTGCAACGGACAGTGTGTCTGTCTGATCTTCTGATTCCTTTTTCTGCTGATCTTCAGTTTGCCAATATATCAATCCCCAACTTCCTGAATCATCCTCGCTGCATTGCATCTTCCCGTGACGCTCATGGTTGTAGACTTTGATGCAAGCTTAGAATCAATGATGCGACATACCTGGGTGGTCTTGCCTGACCCTGTTTCGCCAATCAGCACAATGGCGCTGTTCTTACTGACAGAATGGCAGATCTCCTCTTCAAATGCATGGATTGGCAGCACCGGAGCTGACGCTTCCTCCATGCCACCAAAGCCTGGAGGTGCAAGCCAAGCCTCTTGGAGCAAGCCAGGCACTTGTCAGACCAAGTTGCTACAACCTGACTTTAAGATGACAACCTGCTCCTGCGGAACATGCATGTCGGCCTGCGGCTCTTGCGAAGCGGCGTAAACATGTCTCCTTGTCCCCTGAGCTCGTCTTCTTCAACAGAAAAGGTGCCCCCGCAGGGAGCTGCAGAAAGCGTTGTTGCCTGAAGGCTAAAGCTGTACCTGCAGGCTGTAGTGCAATGCTGCGCAGATGGCAGCTCGACCAGGGCACAATTTGCGAAGAGAACGTACTGAGAGGAGCGAAGTGAAACTGGAAGTCCTGTTGAGGACCTGCGTTACCGAGCTACTCGGCCTACCGGAGCAGGAGGCCCTCTGTCTTCTCAATCCCAACAGAGACGTAACGCCGCTGCTGTAGGACTGAGAAGAATTGCCGCCCTCTGATTTTAGGGTTCCAATCTGGCTGTGGTCTTCAACTTCAAGTTGCGGTGGTTCCATGGCCCCGTGTTGTTTAATCAACAAAAGCCCGCAGCAGGTGACATCGAGGAAAAGGAGGGTTGGCCGCCATGGTGCGGGTAGCAACAGCATACTATAGACGTTGAGGGCCCACCCACCGGATTCAGTATTTACTTGAAAAGAGCAGGGCCTACGGTGAGCCGGGCCTACGCGCACTGGCCTGCTGACAAGGAAGAAATACTTAAGAACACAAATGACAATTCTCAGCTTTCTGCAGATTCATGACGAGGAGATGTTGGTTGGCTTTGTAGGAGGCATATATTCTTTCCAGTTATGGTCCAGAACAGGGATTGCCAGCTCTAGCTCGACCTTTTATCTACTGCACCTACTCAAGAAGATGCAGCAGCTAGAAAGAATCTGAGGAGAGCTGCTGATCAACTTGTTGAGAGCATACTCGCTCAGCACTCGAGCGTGCGACCAGAGCTCACAATCTTTCGCAGACTCCGACTGCTCTGAAGCTGCTGGTTCAGAAAGCATGGGCAACAGCAATGCACCACCAGGAGAAGGGGCTGGGGCTGGACTGCTTGAGCAAGAAGACAACTCTGAGTATGGGGAATTTGAGGCCCCCAGCATGGTTCTGGTGAGTACCTTTCCTTCCGTCCTCAGAACCGATTGCTCGTTAGCTTCTTAAGTTGAGGGGCCAGCAGCCACTCCTTGTGGCTAGCACCTGCACGTTCCTAGTCAGACAGACGCAAGTTCTTTAGTAACTTGACGGCGTTCAATCCAACCAGCAATCATGGTGCTGGTCAATTGGCAAACAACATGCACAGGAATCTCGTCAGAAGCAGATGCTGCAAGTAGGTCGAGAACCATTTGGTATGAATCGATGGACAGAAGTAAAGCCCGCGCCAACGGACCACTTATAAGGCACTCATTTTGTGCCCAAGGGCGATCCTGGCTTGTCCACTTGCTACCTGTGCTATTATCAAGTTGCATTGCCTGTCGCTTTCTACATGCCTCTGGAAGGTCCAAATTCTGTCAGAGAGCTTCCAAAGAGTCTGGTGTTGAACATTAATCCTCTCTGCCTGCAGGCTCTGAAGCACGCCGATGCATCGGGGCCGCACCGCTTGGTTGATAAGGAGGTGGTCAAGTACCAGCTCTGGAAGACCACCCCCCTCGAGCTGGGGTCCCTTGGAGTTGGCGTTGGCCTGTACTTTGAAACTCTGGTAAGTAGATCAGGGCCCTGTTCGTAATGTCTGCATTTGACTACAACTGTGGAAAGAAACTCTCCTCGATGAAAAAGGGACGAAGCCGGATAAGTCCCAACTCTGGTCGTCCGTCTTGCTCCTGAGAGCTTGAAGGACATTCATATATATGGCTAAGCTTATATGGGGGAGTTTGCCACACGAACAACCACGCACTTGGAATTCTTTCAGATGTCAAACCAGTACGCAACAACACATGGCACCATAAAAGGATGCCTTTCTTTGTCCCAACAAACGGACTGCCAATCTGCCAGATCTGCTTAACTAGAATCGCACACACCTCTTAAGGAATTACAGTGCTTCTCCCTGCAGGCTGTCCTCATCTGACCTCGCTGTCCACTCTGTTGCAGCGCTTGCTTGGCTACTTTCTCATTGCCATGGCTGTACTGCATGGAACTATCCTGCTACTCTGCGCAGCAGCGTTTAAGACTGTGGAGGACCCCAGCATCTATCAGCCGCTGACGGCCTACACGTTGGGAGCCATGTACTCAGATCGTGAGTTGCAAAGCGTCACAACCTTTTTGTTGCAGTTGCACACATGCTCGGTCTAATGAAGCATTCCTTGCTTCTCTAGAAAGTCTCCTTGATACATTCATGCAACAGACATATTATGCAGAACATCAGAGCCGTGTATAAACTCGGCGCCCAGGATCCCGCTCGCATGTCATTGAACCTCTGGTCTTTGGAGGTCAACGTGAAGGTTCAGGTTAAGGTAGCATCAAAAACAACCTCGAAGAATCTCCAAGCCGGTAGTGTCTAAAAGTTTGCACCTTATAGGAACAAGGATTTATGCCTGAACCATAAATGCGTATACGCATGCAAACAATAGAAGACTTTTGCACGTCAAATGTCACACACAAATGAGTCAGATATGCTGAGCCCCGGCTTCTACATGGCAGCTGCCGTACCCAGTAGCACGCGAGTCAGCCTGGCGGGAACGTCCGTGTCAAAGAAAACCCTCCTTCTGGCGATGGCCATCCTTGATGCCGTAAGCTTCCTCCTCCTGTCATCGATGTTCTTGGAAACTTGATTTTCCCAGATCTCCTCAGATCCCAATTGAGCCCATTTTGCGAGCGCTCTGAAGTCCCTGGTCATGCTGGCTGCCAATTTCACGAAAACGGCTGGAGCCCCCGGTTCAAATCCATCTGTCCTCGTTTTAGTTCGTCTTCATTCTGCCACTCCACGATTATGGTCGTGGCTGGTACATAGAACGCGCGCTTAGTCGAGCATACGTCAGTGGGTTGGTGATTTTGTGCTGACACCTGGCAGGGTACTACTCGCACAGTGTTAGGGCCTCTCGTCCCGGTCTTGTTGACCAACCTAGCAGCTAACCCCGGGTCTCCGTCCCTCTCCAGTCTGGCACCGTCCTGTTTCTCGCTAGCCTGGTGTGCAACAAAGCTTGAAATTGCCACGCGATGCTTCTGATCGACGACACCAATTCTAAGCTGGGCGACTTTTGTTAACCGTCTCTTAACCTGACCCTAAACACATCTTAATCTAGAGCTCCCGTCCCTCTCCAGTCGGCCACCGTCCTGTTTCTCGCCAGCCTGGTTTGCATCAAAGTTTGGCAGCGACACGCAACGCTAGAGATCGACGACGCGACCATCACCCTCGGCGACTTTGCGATCCAGGTCAAGCGCCTGCCAACGGGGGCGACGGATGCTGACATTAGGACCCACTTTTCGCAGTTTGGCGAGGTCAGCAGTCGACCAGCAAAACGCGTCAAATACTTTTCCTTGCTGTGTCTGCTGTCTTTCAAAGTTTCCGCTCAACTGTTTCTCATCACAAATTGGAAGTGTCCCGAACATTTTGCCGCTCAGCCCAGAACGTAGCCAGCTTCAATCGCGTTTGCTTCTATCATGTCGTGTACGCCCCCACCCCATGCGGATAGGCGTCCTTCTCTCGTAGCCTTTCTGAATATCAATCTCTAGATGTAAAGTTGTCGTCCGTCCCCATACTAAGATTGCGCGTGTACTTTGAGAACGCCGACGTTCGCTTTTTGTCGCTCCATCGGGACGGTTTCTTTCTGGAAAGCTACCTTTGTACGCGGCTAAACCAACGGTCAAGTCCTGGTACATCCTCACACGTGCTTGTGCATGCTTTCTTTCTTGCAGATTGTGGACGTGGCGATCGCTCGGAACGACGGGAACCTGCTGCGGATGCTGGAACGGCAGCAGCACGACGTCGCTCAGGTGAAAGTTGCCCGCTTTCAGTTTGCGCTGACAAGACAGTATTGTCAGCGCCCTGTAGGAGTCTAGTCGCAGAGTTGTAAACGTTATGTTACCTCCAGAAGTACTGCTAAGACAAAGAGACCCTTCGGAGGCAGCCTAGCTGCAAGGGACGGGCATGCGCTCGAGACTCCGCTTTCGAGCACGTTACGTTACGGAGTCTAGAAGGGCATAGCTCTTCAAGGCTTTGTTGTGAGACACATTTTGGCCATCTTAGGCTCTCTCTCGAGCAAACGGTAACATTTGACGTGCAGCGGTCCTGCAACGTCGAACTGCAGTTGAACTCCTTAGAATTCTAAAACCCTGCTTTCACCCGGCGCAATCCCTCAAAGCCCCACACCCGTCTGAAGATGGTGATCTGAACAACCAGTCTGAGAATTGTGGGTTCTGGTGCTTTGCTGAAAGTGTGTGTGTTTCTTCTCTTTCCAGCTTGGACGCTTGACGGCGCTGATCGCCAAGACCAAGGGGCACCAGGGGATTCAAGAAAAGGGTGAGACTTCCTCAGCAACTATTAGATTGCAAGAAAAGCTAAGCGACTTTCAAGCGCCAGCAACATACAGAGTCAAAAGTCTTATAAGCTCCAAAACAACCCGGTGTCACAAAGCGCTGGAGAGTCGTTCTCAACCAAGGCTAGGCAGTCCAGCTTCTCGATTGCTCACAGGCCCCTCGAACAGGAGAAATCGGAGCTGATACGCAGGTGCAAAGGGCGTTACTTCAGACATTGCTGGGCAAAGGTTGGAAGTCGACGGATTTGCCTGGAATCTTTGGAGGCGCCGCGCAATTGGTTGAGAGAGAGTGAGAAGTTCAATTAGGGCAGGGTTCTTTCCGTGCAGCGCATCCGGAGGTAAAAATTCTGAACTAGAGTGCGAGAATTTCTTTGTGCAGCGCGGTTGAAGGAAAGACTGCTGGAGAGACTGGTCGATGGCTCCGAACTTTGGCATGTGCCGCTTTTTCGTTAAGCGAAAGGTAAGGCTAGAGCGGATTTTCCCCTCATGCAGCGCGCCTGGAGGAGAAGCTGCTGGAGGACGAGGCGAGCATCGCGTATCTGCTGAAGGAGCGGCCCTTCGAGGTGGTCGCCGCGTTCGCGACTTTCGACGACGAGGACGCGCGCTTCCGCTGCATTTCTAGTTACTCCGACAGCCTGCCCGGCATCTACGCGCAACCCAAGCGCCTCCGGTGAGCACCTCTTCCGAGTTTACGGAAGAATAGGGGCTTGCTTGGTGTTTCAATATTCACGAATCCGCGGTACGGACCAAGCGTTACGGGGTGCCCTACCTTTTGCTTTCGCGAAGCCCGATTGTATGTTTGTTTGCCTCGTCCACTCGTCGTCAGTCGAGCTTGGAGTTGTAGTCGCATCCTCAGCAATTCCGCCACGTGGCAGGTTCCTGCGCAAGAAGCGGATCGCGGTGCGCGCCGCGCCGGAGCCGGAGGACGTCCTGTGGGAGAATCTGGAGGTCGGCTACTGGGCGCGTTGGTCGCGGCGCATCGGAAGCGCGCTCTTCACTCTAGTTCTCCTCTGCATCACCACGGGATTCATGATCGCCGCCAAGGGTTATGATAGTCGATTGCCGCCGGAGGTGAATTGCGAGGCGTCAGCGAAAAGGGGCACGCTCGAGTGTCCCCAGCTGTGGAATTTGACGGCGACGACCGGAAACGCGGATCCGGTGCGAGTTGAGGTGAGCGGCTTCCTCTCTCGCAGTTGACTCTGGTTCGGGCAGAATCGACCTTTTCCCCCTTTTCATTCTTCCTAAGAAAGAAGATATTGGTAAGGCTGATAGAATCAGAAACAAGATCATCACGATCTTCTCTTTGTCAGGAAGGGCAAAGTTTCTCCTCTTGTTTCTGGAAATGCAACGGGTGGTGCGATCATTGAGCGCTGCGCCACATGAGCCGATGATGAAATGAAACGAGATTCTTGATCGAAAAATGCACGCTAAGGTGGTCCAGTCTGCTCTGAACGCAAAGTGTTTGAGGCGTCAAAAGCGCCGGGAACGGGCACCAAAGTTTTGGTTCCCCTGGTGTTAAAAGCATTCCGATCTTTCAAAAAGACACAATTGGACAGACACGGTAGACACCCTTCCCTTCGTTTCCTCCTTCCGGCTGGAACAGATTCGATTGTCTCAAGCTCTGATAACGCGAAAGTACGTCCAGCCTTGTCGTTCCCCTTTGCTGACAGGTACACAGCCTGAAGGCAAACACTAGCGGGATCATGTGCCGGCCGGTCGTGTTCAACGGGCTCTTCCGGGCAAACGTCACAGCCGTGGCGGCCAACGCGACGGCTGCGGGGCTGCCGCTTCCAACCACCGAGTAAGGGAAGCCGCTGAAAGACCCGTCGTTCAAAGCCTCAGAAACCTTGTCTTGCATTCGTTCGGCTCCGATATGCGTTCCCTTGCAAGTGTTGCTTGGGGCTCCTACGGAAGGTGAGTGATCAAAGTAGACCCGAGTCAATGATCTTCCACTATGATTACTCACTCTAGTTACATCAATTGATTGGTTACAGTGAGTGATCAAGCTCTGAGGGTTCTGAGCGGCGCTCGGGCTACTTTTAAGGAAACCGAGCTATTCCCACATCAAAATCGTCGTCTTCCTTACGAGTTTTATTTCCATAAAAGAAACATTCAGGGCTCGGGCATCTTCTTTCTTGCCGAGTGATTCGCGTCACCCTAGCCTCGCTTACCGTCATCTTCCCAACATCACCCGCGTTCTCGGGCGTCGCAGGATCATCCAATGCGCGGCCGCCACGTGTTACTCCTGCTTCTGTAAGACGACGGGCCTCTCCGCCGCGGTCAACGACGCACTCGGCTTGGGCAGCTATTGCCGGCGCTACTGGCTGAACGTCACGCTGACGTACGTGTTCAAAGCGCTCGCTGTCGTCACTGCTACCGTCATCAACACCATCCTGTACGCCGTCATGCCGTGGCTGTCGTCACTGGAGCGTCACCATTTGCTGACGGCGCAGGCAAGTGTTGGATCCTAACCTGTTTCATAAAACAATCTGAGTAGCTACTGGCTGGACTTGAATCGTGTAGCAATTACGTGTAGCAATCGTGTAGCAATTACGAGCTTACTCGCATCGCTGCTATTGCCATCAACAGGTTTCTGGGGCGCTTCGAGTCATGCCGTAGGTGTCATTTGAGCGAGAACATCTGCTGACGGCGCAGGCATATAGTAGCGATGTGTTTTTACAATCTGCTGAAGTCGATGGTAAGCCTGGTTGCTGGGTGGAGCGGCGTCACTCTCTACTCTCGGCTCGCAATTTAGAATGTGTTCTTCCTGCCTCGAACTGATACAAGCCACCAACCTATCAGATGTTTGAGTGTTGTACACATTGGAGACATCGCATGGGAGCAACACAATAGAGATTGAAGGACGCTCTTTCCCAGAAGGGGGTCATCGCCGAGAAGCTCTTCATCCGCAACTTGAATGAAGCCATCAATCAGGTTCGATTTCACATGCCGAGATAAACACAACATATGCACATTCGATTGAAGTCGTCAAGAAAATTCATTTCTTGAATGAAAAAGAAAAGCCGTCTTACCAGGAGGCGGCCACTGCCGAGAAGCTGTTCATCACGCAGCTCCTCAACTGCGCGGTCATCGGAACGCTCGTCTACGCGCACATCGCGGGCTTGAGCCGCGGCAAGGTCACCAACTGGTTCTTCAACGGGCTTTACGAAGATTTCGACACCGCGTGGTATAGTGCCGTCGGCAGCACGCTAGTGATTACGTTGACCGTCCAGATCGTGGTGCCGTTCATCAACGAGGCGCTCGGCGTCGCGTGGGCGTGGGGGAAGAGATGGCTTTGGGCGAAAAGCCAGCTCATCCAAAGGTGAGAATGCGCACTCGAGATTGATTAGGAAGGAAAGGGATATTGTTTATCGCATTTGAACAGAGTTTTACGTTTTTCAAGGGTTAACGAGGCGCTAGGCGTGGCGTGGGCGAATGCGCTCGGATGTACAAGTTGTTCCTTTTTTCCCTTACTTTTTAATGGACTTCATGTCTCTTAGAATGTTCCTCAAGCATCCGCGAAGCGCTGGGCGTGGCGTGGGCGTGCGGGAAGCGGCGGTTGTGGGCAAAAAGCCAGCTCATCCAAAGGTGAGAATGCGCTCTCAAGTTCCAACGCGCTCTTAAGTGTATGACTTGGTTGTTGAAACAGTAGTTCTGCTTTCAATTGGTTTTAGTGTCCGAGAATGATTTGGTCGATCGAGTATCTGTCGAGCATCCACGAGCCGCTGGGCGGCTTGGACTTACGGCAAGCGGCGGCTGTTGGCGAAGAGCCAGCTCATCAAAAGGTGGGAATGCATCCTTGAGTAGATAAGTTAGTTGAGGGAGAAAAGAATCATTGTTTTTCCGTTTGAACTGAGGTCTTCTCTGGTAAAGTTGTGATGGATTGGAGTTCTTTCAAGGATCAACGAAGCATTGCACGCGGCTCTTGGGCGTGGCGAAGCGGCTGTGGGCGAACGGCCAGCTCATGCGAAGTCGAGAGTGCGCTCGTTGATGTGAAAGGTGACGGGGCTGATTCAATTGGATAGCGGGACACTACTGAAATGGTTGGGAAAACGTATATCATCTCAAGGATCTAAGGATCATGAAACGATGTGGTATTTTGTGCACCCATGGGGGGCGAGCTTACACTACGGTTGTCAGAAACAAATGCGTTAAGCTTTACAGAAGCGAAGCGAATTCTTCACTATGGCAGAGTCGCCGTCATTCAGCTCGCAGACCGACCGGAATGATCCAGTGTAGGTGCTTCCGAAAAGAAAGAAAGTCGACGGGAGGGGAAGAGTGGAGGGGCCAGACGATAAAGAATGGAAAACCGGAGTGGCAAGATGCAGCGAGATGAAAGACTTGAGAACCTGCCCTTTTCTGACTTCTGCAGCGACCTGAACAAGCTGATGAAGGGCCTCGGGTTTACCCCGGCCGACCAGAATTCGGAGAAAGCAAGAAATTAGGAAGCAGAATAAAAGTTGGAAATTGTTTGCAAAACTTGACCCCTTTTCTAATACCTTTGCAGCGACCTGAACACGCTGATGGAGGGCCTCAGTTTAACCCTGGCCGACCAGGAGTCAGAATAGGAAAGATATAAGAAGCAAAAAGAACCAAAATCCTGAGATTCTTGAAAACTATTGACCCTTTTCGTGCCTTTGCAGCGACCTGAACAAGCTGATGGATGGCCTCGAGTTCATCCTGGCCGACCAGTGTTCGGAAAGACAGAGAAATAAGAAGGAAAAGGAATAGGATGTTGAAATTGTTTGCAAAACTTGACCCTTTCCTTACGTTTACAGCGACCTGAACAAGTTGATGGAGGGCCTTGAGTTCACCCTAGCCGACCGGTACGGCCAGCTGCTGACGCTTATATTCGTTGCCATGGTCTTCAGCGCGGGCATCCCCATTCTGGTGAGTGCCGAGCTCAAGAAAGATAACATTGAGCCGAAATTATGAGAATCTAACCGCACTGGGACGGGTAGGGTTAGGTTGGTGGTTACGGTGGGCATGGATGCGGAGCAGGTATCTTTTTGGGTTACCGTTCTCAGTCGGATAAGTCAATAGTTTTGTGAAGCCATAATCGGTTCCGAGTCAGAGAATCGCGGCACTCGGTTTTTGGGCTTTTGTTTGTGTGAAGATCCTATAAGATACCCTGCTTTGGAGGTGCTGAAAGACAGCTTCCGTGACAGTTAAAGAGGCGAATGAAAGCACCAAAGGATGCTGATCACCAAAGACGCTGCTACAGCGTTTCCCCGCGGCTGATTTCAGGATCTCTCACTCGCTTCAATTTTTGCCGCAATCCGAGTCCCCTGAGAAACCTTGAACAGGCGCAAATCGTGATGACAACAAACGATGCTTCTCTTCTGCAGCACCTCATTCTCACGGCAGCAATTCACATCATTTATTGGGTCGACAAGATCACACGTAAGCGCTCGCTCACAACGTCAGTCTCACCGCCCGGGTGATTGGAGGGAGGAATCTGTTCAGCGTTTGATAAGTTACTAGGCTCTTTTGAATGCTCCCGCTGCTGACGATCAATAGCACGCCAACCGGATCTGCCAGAAAATTAAGCAGTTGATGCCTCAAACGCCGCCATCTATAGCGAGTCCTCAATGCGAGTAGCATTTTTGTCCTGTGTAAGCAATACTTCATTGATCATCAGACACTTCGTCGTTATGCACTTAAAAGCACGGGTCTCTTTACCGCTGTCCGAAATTGGTGGCCTGATTTTCGACCGACCCAGGGCGCGGCTTATTTTGCGCATCAACTTCTTACCCTCGTCACTTCCAGAATGTTGGAACGCTACACGGTCCCATTTTCTCGTCAGCCGCTGTTTCTGTCGTTCTCCAAAATAGGTATAGTAAGCTCAAATTATAGTAACATGGACGGGTAGTGTTGGTGTGGGGATTAGGGTGGGTACGAGTGCGGAGCGGGTGATCATTTGGATTTTCGTGTCTAGTGTTAGCTTCGTTACCATTACTTAGGCTTACTATTCCAGAGAAGGACACTGTTTTTGACTCCGGTTGCTCGGCCGCCCGCGCAGTCCTCCGCCTGTCGCGCACTCCCGCGCAGTATGACGACACCATGACGAATGCATTCCTGGCCACGCTCCCCTGGGCGGCGTGGATCCACTGCGCCGTCGCGGTCTGGATGTACGGCGGGCTGCCGTCCAATACCTTTGGGGAGGCGCAAGGTGAGGGGTTCATGGGTTTCAGGATTTACTTTTCGTGCTCGTCGTCAAACCGCAAATGGAGGCTTAATTGGCTTCCCACGTCCTTCTTCAATCTGTCTGCTTCCTTCCGTCGAGCTGTAAACTTTGATCCCTATTTTCTCAGTACTTTCTCTTCTTTGTTCTGCCGGCCCCAATTCCCCACCAAAAAGATACTCGCCGAAAGACGGCGAAAATCAAAGATTTGCAGAGAAAACTGTGCCCCGAGGCCCCTTTGCGCCGGGGACCGGCTTTCGAATCACGGCCCTGGAGTGCATTGCTGTAAACGCTCGGCCCTCTTTTCGGCTTGCGGCCAAGGGCCGCAGAAGTGCTCCAAGAGCCCATACGTTCGAAACACGCAAATATAAGATTCAGCTAAGATGATGAGAAGCTCCTGTCAACATAAAAAATCTTAACTTAAAAGGAGCCTGCTTCACACTCTCCTACCCTCCTCAAACCCAAAGTAACCCATTCGTCTTAGCTTATCAGACGTTTCTTGAGGTCGATGCCGTGCGCCCGGTTCTACGTACCAACCGCACCTCTGGGGAGAACAACTCCCCGCTCCCCCCGCCTAAACCCCCAAACCCTTTCCCCCAGACGCGCTTGGCGGCCGCATCCCCCAGCCTACGCGGCAGCTCAACTGGACGGACCGCATCACCAAGGCCAACGCCGCGCCCGCGCTCGCGCTGTTTCTGCTGCTGACCATATATCTTCTGGCGCGCCCGTTTTACAACGGCGCGCGCGCGCTCGCGGCGCTCTTCTGGCGGTCCAACCAGGTGCGGGACGAGAACCTGGCCGTCACGTTGCGGCAAGGTGAGGTCCCCCGACAACATTTTCATACAGAGAAGCACTTTGACTGAGTGAGCGATTCTCTGTCACGCCATCTGGCGAAGAAGGTGCCGGCCGTTGCGCGGTGTTGTCACACGTTTCCTGCGGCGCGCACCCAAGAGCCGAGGCCACGCGGCATTCGGCACCCCACTGCACCACCACTCTCACTCCAAAACCTCTACGTAGTGAACGCAACCGTCTCTCCCGGTCCCCTGGATTTTGATCCATCTCGCAAGAGCTGCGCAGCCTAAAGTCACCGCGCGGACTCTGATCACTTGTCCTGCCATCCATCCCCTTAGAAACGTGCACAGACATTTCTCGCAGCGCTTCATTGTTTGTCATTGCGAACTGTCTCCTCTTACTTTCTGATTCTGCGCAGTCGGATCGTTCCGCGCGGTTTCTTGGTGCAGCGCTCAAGGACGAGTGCGTGTCCGTACCGCGCGGTCCCTGATCTCCTGCCTTTGCGATTCATTTCGTCAAAAGTGCGCGACTGTGACTCACCGCGCGCTTCTCTGGTGCAGCGCTCAAGGACGAGTGCGTCTCCGGCCTGCGCACTACCCCCGCGCCGCGCGGTCTCTAAATCCCCACCTTTGCGATCCATCTTCTAATAATTGCGCGACCACATCTAACTTCGCGCGCTTTTTCGTGCAGCGCTCAAGGACGAGTGCGTGTCCGGCCTGCGCAGCTACCAGCGCACCGCGCACTTTCTGTTCTAGCTCTTCCCCTTTCCCATCTCGTCAATATTGCGCGACCATAACTCACCGCGCGGTTTCCTGGTGCAGCTCTCAAGGACGAGTGCGTGTCCGGCCTGCGCAGCTACCAGCGCACCGCGCGGTTTCTGATCGTCAGGACTGCGCACCCTTAACTTACCGCGCGTTTTTTGTGTGCAGCCCTTAAGGACGAGTGCGTGTCCGGCCTGCGCAGCTACCAGCGCACCGCGAACCCGCGCTACCACCTCGCGCAGCGAACGGCGGCGTTTGTGCGCACCGCAGAGGCGCCCACCATTGCGGACCGGTTAGAAGTCACCAAATCGCGGCTGCCCAGCTTTCTGCAGCGCTATCTCACCCGAGGGCGGGTATCGAAGATCGGGCGAGAGTTGCCCGACCCCCCTGAGAAAACGGAGCGCCAGAAGGGGGATCCCGCTGACGTCGCTCGGGAGCGGCTACCGGGGACAGTAGAAAAGAGCGCAGATGCGGGAGCGGCGCCCAGATCGAGTGCCCGGTTGGCCAACGAGAGCGGCGAGAAAGTGCGGGGAAGCGTGCCGCCCAGTCAGTGGCCGGGGCTCGGAAAGTATGGTAACGGTATGACGGAGTATGGTAACGGAGACGACCCGACGCAGCTGCAGCAAAACGGCGACCCCTTGAGCGCGAGGGCGGCCGCGGAGCTGGACGCTCCAGGGTTTAGTGAGGGTTTACACGGACTAGCACTGCAACCGGAAGGTTACGTGAATAGGGTTAGGTTTGAGGGTGAGCAGCCGGAGGATTCCATGCCTGCTAGTGGGTCCAGTCGGAACGGATCCGTTTCCAGATTCCCCACGTCAAATGCGAAGATCGGAAGATAGCCTGTCGGCAGCGTTCAGCGTCTTCTAATCGTACTCGTCGGCAGCCTGCAGCGTCTTTCAAACTGAAAGCTGGTGACAGAGCCGGAGAATAAGATACAAGAGCGGAACGTGACGCCGTTACATGAAGCAGAAGCAATCACTTCGCGAGAATTTGAACGGCTAAACTGAAACAAGTTTAGGGTCAATGCGGCGTGCAAGGCGGCGAATTTGCAACTTAATCAGAGTCCTAAACAGGAGGTCGGTGACTTTGTCGAACGGAGGGATAGGAAGCTTGGATTGATCAAATCGTGTGACCGCAACAATTCATTCTGTGAGCTGCAAAAGCGGAAAGGAAAAGACGGTTGTATTTGGTGCCCGAATTAACGTAAGAGATACAGGCAGACTCAGTGCAGCGGATTGTTTAATAGCTAAGGACTTCGGAAGACAGACCAGACTATGCAGACTTAACCACATAATTGAGCATGAAATGACCGGGAACTCATCAGGCAGTACAAATATTCCAAGGTCATGTTATGCAACGTTAGTATGATGTTCTCCGAGCTGCTCGTGTTCCTTCCACTTTCGGCTGCGGGCTCGATCCTGCCATTACCATCTTCCAACCGTTCAACACATCCATCGCGGCCCGAAGCTCGCATCGTGACGGTCTTCGAGGGTGGACAAATCCATGTCACGATTATTAGTTGCAGTGCAGCTCTCGTTGGATTTCTTTTCCTTAGCAGATTAGCTTAAGGGGAAGCGCGGTGCACAAGCAACAATCACGAAAACTAAAGTCAACCGAAAATTGGGGACCTCCAACTAAGAATCATTCATAACTGCATTTACTTCACAGACTAAACATGAATAGATAAGGCCGTACTAGTGGGTCACGATGACATTCAAAGTACATCGCAAGCTAGCTTGACGGTACCATCATGCATGTGTGCGGAGAGACAAAGGATCATGAGTCGGACATTCACGTACTGATTGCAAGCTAGCACCGCAGGCTGTTTCGAGACCACATTCTCTTGGTGACATCACAGGATTAACCTTCCGCCGCTGAACGCTCTCGCATACTTTGCGCAGGGAAGGAGAAAAGACACTAGAGCTGGAGGACATCAGCAGGCTTATCTAGATACGTGAAAGAAAAAGCAATTGACTGGGGCGCCGGATTCTAGTTGATTTATCTACGCTAGACATGCGCGCGGCGTTGGCGTGCCTAACATGAGTTTAGCCAAGTCGGAGGTTTCTCACGACTTGCAATCTAAAAGCTTCAACCCTAAGATCCCGCAAAACACAACCCTACAAAATCACTACACTCAACCTCAGGTCAAGCAACTGCGCTGTTCTACTGCAGTTTCTCGGGCTCAATTTATTAGTCTCCATCCGACCAGCAGATCGATCGACGAAGTGGCCAGTTCCCAGGGTAAAGCGTTGCTCAAGCGCCGGTTAGCTTCATTTCTGCCCGGCCCAGCTTCGGGCGAATCCTGGGATTGCCTACACCGGCCTTTAACCAACTCTAGTTACCGCAACTGACCCATTAGGCGCACTCACCAAGGGAGATGCGAGGTTTCGCTTTCACTGGAGGATGTCGCGCCTAAACAAAATCTATAACCAGCACTCAACCAGAAGGGCATCTAACCCGTGCCTAACCCGGCTTGGGTGGGTGCGGTCATCCCCTGCGTTCCTTAATTACCGGAGCGGGCCGACAATCGGGGCGGAGGTGGTCGGAGAGGGAGTGCCCGGAATGTCGTTAGCTAGGGCACGGCCCGCGTGCTGCGCCCCCCGGGCAAACATTGTCGTTCTGGTCCAGTGTCAACTCCCCGGTGGTAAATAAATACTCGCAGACGTACGGGAGGGCATCGTAGTAGCAGCGCAGGATGAAGTTTGGCTGCAGCAACGGGGAGGTGGGGCCCAGTTTGAAGCCCGCTAAGTCTTCGGGGGGGCAGACGTTGCAGGTCTCGTTTGTCGCGAGGATCCGGCCGGCGTGCGCGGTGGTCTCGGGGAAGAAGTAGCCGCACTCGGCGCCCGTGTTGGCGTTGAGAGTGTTGTCGGCGACCTGCCAAATGGAATTTTCGGCGGTCAACAACAGTCGGTTTAACGGGCTGGTTCGAAGCTTGTTTACCTGTCCAATGATCAGACTCAGGCAGTAACCAGGTTTTAAACATGGCTGTAACGCGGTCAATGGTCAACATACCAGACAGAGGTTTGGTTATTGAACCTGGTTAGCAGCCAAACCTTCCTTTGAGCAACGTAAATTTTCGCAGTTGAAACACGGTTAACCGTTAAAAGGGCATCGAACCAGACATCGACCACGTTCTCTTGGCAGAAGGGCCGACCAGAAACTAAGCTTGGACAATCCGGATATCTTCCTCATGTGCAATGTACGCTGCATGAAGAAGTCACCAAAGCGAAGCCGGCTGAATTATCCGTCAGCGAGTAGAAAGTAACCCCCACTTCGTGGCGAGGTTCTGCAGTTAAGCAACATGGTGGAGTTTTGCTTCAGTGCCCTTAAAAGTACCAGACGAATACCATTTGAAGCTGGTCTACAACTTTCTAACTTAAGCATGGTTCAAAGTAGTAAACCTCCCTGTAAACTTGATGTAGCCGACGAAGCCCGCTTGACCCCCACACTGTCTTCACTGTCCAGCTAGGGGCACAGATTTTACTCAACCCACCCTCAGACCTAGCTTCTAAACCCCAATAGAACCCAACTCGTGTTCGAAAGACTCCCAATCCGCCCTAGGCACAAAGGCCAGCTGCCATGCTGCGAACATTTGACATTGACCCGGAGCATGAGAAGAAGACGAGTCTCAGCTGCGTTAAAGCAATGACTTCGTAGAAGGGGAACGCAAAAGCGAAAACTACAGTTGGCACTTACGTAGTTGTAGCAGCCATAATCCTTGGGAGCGTCGATCACCACAGTCGGGCAGGAGCACATGGAGCTCCCGGAAAGGCTGCACAGAAACAGAGCCACGTCAGCAGGCTGAAAAGTGTTGGATCTCAAAGTGGCCGGCTTGGAGAACAAGGTTGCAGAAGAGCGGTTTACCCAAACCGATTTTCCCACCACCTGAATTTGACGAGGCAGCGTCTTTGAAAACAGTACGTATGCGCAGGAAAGGCTTTTAAAAATGGTGCGGGCTCGTCAAAACTCGCAGATCTGAAGGCGTTTCTGAATTTTTCATTTACGCACTTCTGTCTGTGGCGGCAGTTTGAATGTCCGTGCATTAGGACCCAACTCCTTCCAGATCTTGGCCGATCGCAAGGCTCCCTAAGTTTCAAAACGTAAATGAGCGTCGGACCTCTGAAGCAGAGTCTATATCAGACTTCAGTGCGCCAGACTTTATGGAGGAAAAATGAAAGAGATGGCAAGCATAGGTGCACTGCATTACAACCCAAGATCTCTAGAGCCTCAACTTCCAGTTGGTCAAAGTTACGGTCATGCCTGAACGATTTGACATAAGAGCCAGCACTGATGCTGCTAACATCACGATGTCAACAGAGACACAGCGTTACGCTTGGGCAGACTCTCTTTCTCAAGTTATGAGGCGAGGGTTTGTGCTGGGTAAAACAGAGGGGGTAGACCAAAGTGCGCTTAAGCACACCCTGTCATTACCATGTTTCCTAACCTTGGGTCAGACCATATTCCTTATAGAGTCAAGGTGGCAAAGAGTTTGGGAAGGCTAAAAAAGAGGGGGTTTGACAAAGCTCACTCAAGCACATCTTTGTTTTACCACGACTCGTAACTTGATTCCGCAAACCCTGCATCACAACATGTTCACAAGACTCTGTGCCAGTGTCTCTGCTTGTTCCTGATATCAGGTACCGCCAATTCCAGGCCCCGAATACCACAGATGCTCACGCAAATTTCAACAAAATCAGTGAAGAAGCCTATAATGAGGTCTGCCCACAAGCCCTTACCAGCAGTACCAGACTTCCCCGTCGGGTCCGTAGCACGGCTGGTGTGCGTTGCCCGCATCGTTCGGGTCGTTGGAATCGAAGTGGCCGCACGGGTTGTATGGCGTGGCATCGCCCTCGGAGCTCCCCTGCTGGCTGACGTCAGTGTTGGCCAAAGGCTGCTTCCGCGCTGACGACGCCGACAGTGACGTCAGCACCGCTAGCACTACGACCAACAGGAGAGCAGGGGACGGGGAGCGACCCATTGTTGCCTGTGTCGAAAAACCTCCTGCGCGAAAGTGTTTTTTTCTCTTTCCGTGAAGGAGGCAAGTGAACGGTTTTTTCTGGAAGAGAGGTGGGTACAAATGCTTCCACTTTCTGAAAGGAAGGCACGGAATATAAAGAACACCAGGAAGTGGAAACTTTGCCTCTAGTGATGGGTTTCGGCAGACAGCAAGAGAAACGGCACTGTGCACAGCAAGAGAGATATGTTCCTAGCAGATACCTGTTTGACCACTCCCAGATCCGACATTCACGGACCACAAAGATCGCTAGCGGGTGCCATGTGGTGCCGTCTCGTCGGGAGTTACTTATACGGTAGTGGTAGATTTTCCGTATTACTAGGCCGTACGCTGCACTGATATTTGATTTTATTCTCACTAGTTCGATACGTACTGTCACGGTAGACTGCGTACAAGCGCGTACGTACCTACCTCAAAAGTAAGAGTGAGCGGACAGGATGGGCCAATGTGACGTTTGCATGATGCCATGATCTGTACCTTCCGTATAACCGTGACGCTAGTGACAGCCTCAGATGAATTCTGATGATAGGTACCTCGTAGGTATCACCTAAAAAGTATGAACAGTCTGGCACACCGGGCTGATCAGCTGCAGCACCGGGACTAGCACACCGACAAACGAAAGGGGAATCCTCGCCCCTTCCGCAGCGGATGGCCGGGTTCGAGAATCGAACACACGACCTTTCGGTCCAACCCCTTTTAGTGTGCTAGGTTAAGCACGACGCTCAACCAACTGAGCTAGCCCGAGGAGGCTACCTCGTAGGTATCACCTAGTAGGTACCTGCAGTATTACGGTACCTACATCTTCACGACTGCGCCAAGACTCTTGTCTCTTGAAGTTGAGTCGAGCTCGAGTCTTGACGTCAAGGCTCACAGATTGACGTCAAGGATCACAGATTGCAAATCTCGTTCCGTACAATATGTACGGTCCTACATTTACTGGGTACCAATTTTAATACACCGCTTCTGTATCCGCCGTGGCTCAGTTGTAGTACTAGTACCGAGGCATCCAGAATCCCAATCCCTGCCACTTTTGCCTGTGAGTACGAGTGACACCGACCGGGAAATAACGAACGACACCGTCGCCCAACCCGGGATATGGATAATTAATACTAGGAGCTCGATGAGTCAGTGCCGTACGGTTGGGGTGCCGGTAATTAATATTAAGCGAGTCCATAATTTCGGAAACTACGACTCCGGTAACTCTCGATTGTTTTCAGGGGGGATTGTTTGAAGGTAAGGACCTGGGGAACCAGATCAGGGGTTAGTTTGGTGGTTAGGAAGGGTGCGGGTGCTGAGCGCGTAAGCTTTTGGGTTAGGACTTTTGGTTTTGATGCCCGGGGCTTCTCAATCTTTGAAGACAAGCCCCTCACGATACACGGAATTTGTAAGTGTGATATCGATTCATGATCAGTCACGACTTTCACCACTACTGTATCGAAATTTGAAGAGGCTAATAGTAGTGGGCACGCCGCAGATGACGGGCGCATCCAAATTGATGTGTATTCGTCGAAGCTCGTTTCAAGGGTCCGATTGCACTGTCAT